AATTATGGGAACCATTGTTCGTGGTGTTGGTTCCGATGGTGCACTTGTTGCACGTTTCATGATGGGCGCCAGGAGTGGGTAAACTGGCAAGTGGGTATATTAACGAAGACCTCATTTCTGCCTTTTGAAGATCAGGTCAGGCTGCGAGGTGTGTTTGTTCATGCTTTAACATAGTTTATATGTCTTTATTTTACATTTTTACCACATAGTGTTTTATGTTTGCCAGGTAATGGTGCCAAAGTGGCGAAGTAACGACGTCAAAGTGTCGTCATAAAAGTTGGTGCCATTGCTGAGAAGAGAAATAAACAGAAGTTTTTGCCATCAGTAAAAGAACTCTGTGTTTGTGAACCCCTGAGACGAGGCAGAAGTGATCGTAAAGTTAAAGGATTCACAAAAAAGCTCAAACTATGGGAGAAGAAATGTGATGAGGGACATGTCAGCTGTTTCCCACTACTAGATTCCCATCTTGCCACCACCGACGTCGCCAGGGGTCCAGTGGTCAAACTGGTGCAAGCACATCTGTCCAAACTCTGCACGGATTTCAGCCGGTGTTTTCAGGACATTGAAGAAACGTCAGAAAGACTGGATTGGGTGAGGAACCCATTTATTGTGAGTGAGAGCTGCAACAACCTTCCTGCAGGAGCATCTGATGGACTTATCATGTGATCAGGGACCGAAAATGACACATGCTGAGAAGACACTGACTGAGTTCTGGTGTGATGTGGAGAAGGAGGATCCTGAGCTGGGAAAGCATGCACTGGCTGAGCTTTTGCCTTTTGGTTCTACTTCTATGTGTGAGGTGACCTTCTCAGCTCTGACACACACTCTGAACAATTCAGGGATTCAAACTTCTCAGCAGAATCATGTCCAGTTGGGTAAATGTTGAAACTCTGACTTTGCTTCTGATGCTTTTATTAATCTGAGGATTGGATCTTCAACTGACTGTGTCGCTGTTAAAATGATCCAACATACATGATGCACATGAAGGAAGGTCTGATGCTGATCAATCACCTGAAGGTTCATCAGGAAACACACATGAGTGGCTAATATTTGTATTAAATGTGTTTATGTGTATAAAATGTGTTGGACATGTCGCCGATGTCAGCGACAGTCAGCGACATTATGGAGAAGCTGCACTTCCTGCTAGCGCTGCAAAATAAAAGCCCTATGAGCTCAGATCGTTAAACAAAATGTAATAACTACGAGGTGATGTTTAAGGACCGTGGATGTAAACAAACTGTAATCAGCGTTATGTCGCTTCTCAACTTGCTTTAAATGCTTCTGTCGTATCTGTAAAGTCCAAACAGTAAATTAATCTATCTAATTAATTATGAACTCACCACCGCATCCTGGAGTGAGCGGGAGAGTTAGCCGAGTTAGCAGTAGTGCTAACGAGCTTCTCCTCTGCCACGGATTGTTAGCGTCACAGCAGCAGCTTTCACAATAAGAGACACAGACGTAGTTCCGTTTCCGTTCGAGCTGTGACGTTGGTCTGTGAGCGTCTGACGTCCTCGTAGTGAATCCACCTGTTCACTGAGCTGCAGTTCCAACCTCAGCCTGATGGAGGACCACAGGCAGAGCAGCAGCTGGTTCCGCCCTCTAGTGGCCGCAGGCGGTCACTACAAGGACAAGTTGGAGAGATTACAGCTGAGCCACACTTCCTGTTGACCCTTCAACGTAAAACCAGCATACGGTTATTGTTTTAATGAAAGTATTACAGCGTGATGTTGGAAGACTCAGAAGGACCGCCGCTATAAACCAACCGTCTCTAGCTTCTCTACTCATTAGTTTTACTGCAGTCAAAGTAACTTATTAACGGAAATGATTCCATAATGCAGCTAATTACAACCTGCATCCCGTACCGGAAGTGCTAGCCGAGCTAGCCGTGGTGCTAACGAGCGTCTCTGGTTTTATCAGGTAACGTAAGTAGCTTTAACACACATGTGGAGGAGACAGAGTTGTAGCTGTCCTCTGGTTTCAGCTGTAATGTCGTACTGTGGGATTGTGTGGCCTGATAATCAGCTTCTGAACTGGGAGCTGCTAACCAGAGAGCTGCAGCTGCAACAATCTGATGTGATCCTCTCATCCTTTTAGAGAACGGCCCGTCTTTCTGTAATCCCATTCGTTTCTGTTATTCTATATTAGACGTAGAACAGCATAATTTACACTAAAGATCCTTCTGAGTCTTTCAAACGTTGTAATACTTTCAGTAAAACAAGAATTAAATATGATGAGCAGTCAAATAGTGCAGCAACAACCTGCTCAGTGATCAGTGACAGTAACGGGGGGAGGACAGCCTTCAGGTGTGCGGTGGTCGTCTCATCAGTCATTGTTGACACCATATCAAGAGCAGTGGGCAGCAGGAGGTCCTCAGTTGCTGGATCCGTGGTTTCTTGCACTTGGCGGTTCTGTTACAGGGCTCCAGACTAACTTTTCCAGTTGTAGCTCTGGTGCTACCAACGTTCTTCATTGGTCGCCCCACTCCCTTATACTGGTTCAGCGTTTCCACAGCTATGAATGCACCATGCAGCTGATGAACAGCTGTTTCTGCATAACTTCGTTATGTTGCAGTGATCGTCATTGATACAAGACTAGATATCTGTAAAATGTTTTAACCTTAAAATATATTTATTTTGTCACCAATCCTCTTCTGAGTCATTAACTGGACACAGACTAAACAATTGCTGAACATGCCCATGGGTAGATGGTAAATTTTACCGATGGTCCCTGAACGCCTCACATGCTGCTCCAGTAGATGGTATATTTGACCGATGGTCCCTGAACGCCTCACATGCTGCTCCGGTAGATGCTACATAGTTCCGATGGTCCCTGAACGCCTCACATGCTGCTCCGGTAGATGCTACATAGTTCCGATGGTCCCTGAACGCCTCACATGCTGCTCC